ATTGGTTGTCATCAGAACAGTGAATCTATATAGTAGAAATGGAAAGCACACATCACTTAACATCACCGGTTCAAGGGGCTGTGTAGCATCGTATACTGACATTTGGAAAACAATAATTCAGTTGCACTACTGGCTTTCTTCGTTAATTCTCAGTGAGTCGTATTAATTTCATCACCAATTATTACACCCCTATTGCTCTTAAAACACTGGGTACCTATACACACACTTCGCCATACAAATATGCAAGAGATAGGTAGGTAGTCAGTCAATATCTTACATAAGGGTTTTTAACACTTTGAATTCAAGAAAAAACAAATCGCATAAACTATAGGCTTTATAGGCTAGTAGCAAAGACAGTTAGCCAGTAATCTAGAAATAAATTCGGAAAGACTTGTAGGGGAATCAAAGAAGTTAGTCAAGTCATCAATTCAGCCTCATCTCTGCGGACCAAAACGCATAGTGGATAATTGAATTTCCAGGGAAAAAGAGCTTGGTGACTCCATTGTAGTGTGCGTGTCGCCTATCTCTAAACTCTCTTCAAATCATCCCTAAGTAAATACCACCTTTGTCCCGAAATAGGTGTTACATTCTTCCCCTTTACTGGTTGGGATGGTGTTAGAAACAGTCTTCTGGCCACCAGATGTTAATCAGAAAGCAGTATGGCTAAAGCTTAGGTCTATCAGAATGGATGGTTACACAACAATAATCATGGACATTATCTCTCATTGAAGCCAAGTGAAAATCAGTTCGAAGTCATTCAAACAGCCTACCACCACCTACTAACTTAGTTTTCCTAAAGAATTAAATACGGAGTGTTGGGCAAAGAGGGAAAATCAACCGACGAGGCTATAAAGTTACATAGATTGAGATGGCTAGATCACGTGCTGCGCATGCCTAGCCGTCGCCTCCCCCGACGGGCATTACTAGCAGGTTGGAAAAGAGTAAGTGGTGGCCAAACAAAAACATGGCCTCATCAATCCATGAAATCCCTGACAGTTAAACTGAGTCAGGTAGGGAGATGCTGACTTTCGGACTGGGGCCCTCGGGACTCTAAGAATCAATGGCTGGAGACAATAGGTGACATGGCTCAAAATCGTTGTCAATGGCGCAGATGTATTCAGTCTCTGTAATCTTTCATATTCCTTTATACCATTACTCATTCTGTTTCACTCGTACACTTGTCAAAACTCTATTGATTCTCTTCACTCATTTTCCTGTCTACCTTTGTGTGCTATTTGGAACGTGGCAACTCGAACTGCTGCACTTCAGTGCCATGCTCTATGTTGAAGCCAGACAGAAAGATACCATGTGTGTTGTTCACAAATCGTAAACCAGTCAGAACATGGCCAATACTAACAATGTCTAGTAAATACACGGAAACAATACTCGATTGGTTGTGTAAGCTGAATAATATAGTAAGATTTTTTGTCAACATTTTCAGCTCATCAATTCTTATTTAACATCCAAGTATTCTATTCAAGGTTTACACACAAAGGGTCAATGAATGTGAAAAATCTTAACCGAGTACATTCTTTTAAAGCTTAATAAGTGTTCGAGGTCATATAGTCACACGTAATGGGTCATCTAACAGCGAAACATATTTTTGACAAATCATAATACAAAATATACCTTGGTGAACAAGTATGGAAAAAGCGTATACACATGAGCCACATGATGATATTGTCTATCCAGTTTACTAGACTGAAATAAACTGGGTAGTAGTCAATTCCTAATATATAGACTAGCTGAAATCCAATCATCGAAGTGCTAATAAGGCGGCATCATGTGGTGGTGTTAGAACTAAGTGAACTCGTATTTCACTGCATACAAAATCCCAGCATCTAAATACTTTTATCACATCCCCCAACTTAATAGAAGACAATTTAGCCCATTGTGAAACAATTAACCGTTACAATTCTCAAATTAAATGCATAACCCAAATGCTAATAAGTAATTTTCCAAGACATTAATCTTATGTTCTTTGGCTAAGAGTTTAGTTACCAGAAACTCTCCAAAAAAGATAATATTCATTGCAGAGCTGAATGAAAATTCGAAAGAGGCTATTCAAAACAAGGTGTAGGAAAGTTTTGAGTCTTGGGAATGAATGTTTTATATATGTTATACACACATGCTTAGCACTAATCGTTTAGAGAATCCAGTTTAATATGCCCCAATCTTGTTTATGAGCTTAACTATTATAGTGTCAACGATTAACAGTCAGTCTCACCTTAAACTTCTCAATAATAACCGTTATTATAATCAACTTTACTCAGAATAACACTGGTTCACTACGACGGGGATAAAACAGAATATAGTAAAATAGCTCACGCATAATAGTGTACTCATAAGTGCAACACAAAGTAAATCCACATCTTCTTACACTTCAATTTATAAACTATTAAAAACCTAAAGAAGGAAATGACCATCATCTAACTGTCCAGTACCCTTGGTTTTCGAATGTGACGATAAACGCAGTGAAATACAACAAAAAAATGTATGTGGATATTGGAATGCAATAATTACGGCAAACAGAAAGGAAATATCTATAACAGCCTATTATGACTAGCAACCGTAATTCGAATTGGGGCTTACTACGCCTTAGATAAGTTTTAAGAAGATAAACCTCAGAGTTCGTATTATTCTCACTAAGTTGTAGTATATTAAAGCTTTTCGATAAAAGCCAACAGGCTAAGTAAATGGGTTACTTTCTCCGGTAAGGTGCTAAGACAGAAAATGAAGCATCCCAGTTGTAAGCGCATAACCCCTTGACTTCATATTCTATGACGACAAAGCAGGTTATGTGTATTGTAGAGATTATCGTTTGGAGCATATGAATCGCAGTTAACTAAAATACCCTTGAGAATTGTCAATTAGGAAGGAAAACATATGTAGAATCGCAAAATAGCCTCGTGTTTCACTCGACGAAGTTCTCATTGAAATGACAGTAGTCCACGTTAGTTCCTAGGAGATGCGTACCAGTTTAAATGTGCCAAGATTTATGGTACAATCTGAGAAGAGGTTTGAAATAGACTACCTTCGGAAATCCCAAAGGTCATTTAATGTGCCTGGGGTGCTTACGGAAATCTGTCACATTTTTTTAGCATAAAGCGAACTCTTCACGCGATTATATTTCGAGACAGAAAAAGGTAAATGAACTGCAAAATGAGGTCTACTGTCTCTAAATGAACTCTGATAACATTCTCGCAAACTACAGTATATGACACGGCATTAACCACAAATCAACTGCATCGAAGTGATGTATTAGTTTGAACATGATCCTAAAAATATACACACGCTTTTATCGGAAGGGAGAGTTACAATGATCCAGGCCCGTTTTGTTCTTACTTAACGTTCAGTAATACTGGATTCTAGAAATGTTCGGACTTCACTTGCATGTATCGACATAATTACCTATGTGACAACTTCTAAGAGCTACCACCACGAACCACGACCGCTTTCTGAGAAACATATGAACACAATCCTACTAGTAATCAAGAAGACAAAAAAAGACAGAATCGTTGGTTTGAACGAGATCATTTGATAAGTGACCCAATCAAACGAGTCATAAATGGAACACAGCTTCTGAAGCAGACAATATAAAGACAATTTAAAAGGGGTGAATATATTATTACAAGCAAATAAGGGTATGAACATGGCAGATTGCCTTTTCAAAGGGAGTAAACTTAGTTTACAATAAAACAGCTGCCCTTTAGGGGATATTTTTGAAATAACGCTTGTAATGGAGGAAAGATTCAACCTATATACAAACAGATTAATCAGAATTTGGAAAATTGTCACTTAAATACCACGCAACAGTTAATGCTTTTTTGTTTTGTGAACACCAAATGTACATACAATCACAGCTAGCAAATTTTGCTGCCGTTATAAGATGGACAAAATCACTAAAAATATAATGTAGATGCAGAAAGCATCTACAGCAAACAGATGATCAAAATATTATATTATTAATTATTAGTATTATTATTATTAAAAGCATGTATACCCCTTTTGCAAAAACACTATACAAAGTTCATAGTAGCATAACAATATGCTCACGAAACATGTTAAACAAGCCGCTGCCAAAATTGCACATAACTGGTGAGCAGGGTAATAAACACGCAATAAACAGAACACAGACATTGATGTTTCAATAAGGTTACCATTGTGTAGTGCGAGATTCAGAAGCATACTGACTCACTCTTGAAAGACATAACCGGCATCCATACAGAAATTTTACGAGAGATGATTACATTTTGAGGAATACACAACTACAGACACATTTAATTAGATAAACAAGGAAATATATATTAAGCAATTCAGTGCGAAATCTGCAAGATACAGCACAGAGCTGAGTGATCTTGAATATTATTCAGTAAAATGCAAAATAGAGCAGAATCACAGATTGCATTACGCACCAACGATGGGAAGGATCAGAATAATTAGAAACGTTTTCAAAAGGGAATGTGCGTTAAAACTAATACGTCGGCACAAATATGAAAACAATCCCTAGATATCAGTTACATACTACTCAATGGCTTCTAAAAACCCGCTGTCACTAATTGACATGACCAGCGATAGTAACTACTTACCGACAGTTGAAATGTAAATATAATTCAGAATATGGATGACGATGATATAAAGATGAAAGTCGAACTGCTACAAATTAGTTGCTCCATGATGCTTTCAACAAGGCGAAGATTCCAAACGACGATGAAATTGAGCATATATATAAATAAACTGCACTAAATGTAAACATTGTGTAAGGAATTTGATTGGCACAATGTGATTGAAAGCCGTCAAAATGTCCAATTCGCAGCATTGACTATGATGCACGCAAATGAAAAATATTCTGTATAGAATGAACAACAAAACAGTCGATGGAAAGGGATAACAACATAATTGGCTAAAAATCAAACATATCTCTCTAGCAGGCCCTGCACACCTTGTTTGGATATGCTGTAACACATTGAGATCTATCGTTGATGCAATAGGCCATTGAGTTATCATTTGGAGACATTATGCCACTTGAGGTAATAGTAATTTCCTCAAATCCTGAATCAGAGCTACTAGCATCAAAAGCATCCAAACCAACAGGTGAACTGCTCATAGTACCTGTTGGTGAGCTGAGACTTCTATGTTTAGACAATTGTATAATATAATTTGGATCATTTGTACATGTATTGATTCCCGCTGCTGCCGTATTAGGTAGTTGTATGCCATTATTAAGCGATTGTGTAGGTGGAGTTGAACCAGTACCCGATCGTAAATCCATTTCAGAATCATCTGCAATAAAGGAAACACACGTGTTAGGTTCGAACAGATAATTAGAAAAAATATCCACTGAAAATTATATTTACCTGAAGATGTAGTTGCAATAGAACATTCTGAACAATTGCGGTTTCGTTCTTTCCAATTTTGCAATTTCAGTGAACGGCTACGTTTCTCTTCCAACTTCTTCCTAAGTGCTTGACGTCGCTTCAGCAACTGGGCGCATCTCTGTTTTTCACTATCCTCATAACTTTCTAGGCATTGTTTCTTCTGCTTCAAGAGCTACGAATTAAAATAAAGTAACAAATACACAATGTATCAAACATAATAAATCTAGATGACTAATATCTAATTTACAATATATTGTAAAATTGTATTGCAAACTTTGAACAGTACCTGTATTGTAGCCGTCGCCTTCTTAAGTACCGTTAACATAGTTATCCTTGGGACGTCATTATCGAAATTCAAACGCTCTTTTAGCGTTTCCATACATGTACGAAGATGGGCACGACTAAATCGAATGCTTGATTTACACTGTATTCACGAAACTTACCGACTCTTTTCAAGTTCATTATGAGTGCATCTATACATTTATATTATTATGAATTTTTCAAACCAGTACCTTACCTCACAGATGTAACAGGTCGTTTTTGTGTGCCATAGTTGTGAGAGGAATAGGTTGATGAATTCGTCTCTGCATAATTCCGTTGAGAATGTCGATGTTCCCATTTTTCAGAATTATGTGTGTAGCGGTGTAACGATTCTGCATGATTTAAAATCCATTTTGGCCATTTTATTTTCCTTACCTTCTTCATCCAGCTTTTTGGCTGCTTGTAAGAGTAATAAGAGACCATTTTTTGATGGGTGGCTAACGGACATGGACAAATTCCTAGCAGTGGAGTGACTTCACCAACTAAACACGCAGCACCTTTAATTATTTCTGCATCAATCGTTTACGCCGCGCCTTGGCCTTGGCTTATATAGCAAAGACCTTGTGTTTTCATTGGTTCATTGTTTAGTTGCAGACAATCAATACACATGCATGCATCTGGTTTGTCAAGGCATTAGGCGTATTAACCAATGAAATTCATATTTCACAATGAAGCCTTCTGTCTGTTTTAACGAATTAAAATGAAGAGAAATTCTGTGACCTGATTTGAATGGAAAGGCAGGAGAATAGAAAAAGTGTGTGACGACAGGCTGGATAGGCTAAGAGCAGTAAAAATCACGTGATCTATCTATCCAAATGAATTAAAGCGATAATTTATGGAATGAATGGCTTCGCTATGTAGTAGTAAAGAGTTAAATACTCTTCCAGTCCTGTCCTAATTTGAGTTCAAGTAGATTCTACCACAACAACTTGACAACCTACGTATAAGGTTAACGTCCAATTAAGCAGTTATAGCAGTATTTACTAGGGGCACGGAAATTCATCAATAAGGTGAACTAAAAACCCTATGTTAACCGACATAATTTAATATATAGAAACCAGAAATGAAATATTACCTAATGTTAGATGAATGAAGGCAATAGGAACAAAGCCATTCAACTAGGTTTCGTCCTTTTTGACACTCGTTAACATCAAGGACTGCATTTCCCTTATAGGATTCGAACAGAAGTCATCCAGTGTTGCAGTCAGAGATGTTACCACTGAGCTATTCAGGTTCACGATTCACCTCCTGTAGGACTGTAGCGGACTGGTAGTAACTAATATCACGCGTCTAGTCCTTGGGTTGAATTTCAAATACGCCCTGCTGATTACATTACAAACTTGACTGTGATAGTATCCCGTATTTATCAACGCCAAGGACTAGACGCATCACACCGATTACTGCCTACTGACACATACACAAGTTATTCATGCCGAAGAACCATCGATATATACTAAAACAGGAATCACCAGAAGGCTTGATTATTCTTTTTTTAGAGTCCTTATCATATGCTAAACAGAAATGAACAAGAAATTCCATATTAGTTTGTTTATTAGATATATCACACAGTGAAACAGTATTATTTACTGGATGACGTTTCGAACAAAATTTATTGTTCATTATCATATCAATTGTAATCACACGACTTTGACACTTGAGTTTTATAGTTTTCTTTGTTCTCTCCTATTTGTCGTTTGGGTAGTAGAATTTTCCAGATATCGGGGACAGTTGTTGAATCATTCCTATTACATGTATTTGTAGTTGATTCGATAAACAAAGCTTCTGTTATCAATCTCTCCTTATGCCCTGTTACATTAGATTTTAAAACTGTCATCTTATCCCGTCATCCTATATTGTATGGTTTTTTTATATTTTGGTTATAGCTTGAAACCACACAGTATTTTTGGTACGAGTATGGAATTTTCAGCTTGTGATATCGGTAGCCCAAATTTTGCAGGCCGACCATAGATATCGGGTGTGCGTCGGCAGGGGTAATTGCATGTAGTGAGTGGTATAGTTGAACTATTCTCTAGATTTTATATTCAGCTATTCTGACTGCCCCTGTTCTACTAGTTTGACCTATGTATTTGACCTGACAATCATTGCAGACAGGGTATTAGATAAACTTAATTGTTTTGTTTTAAAGGCTCTACAGGATTGATCTTTTAACCAACAAAGCTTGTTTCTAATTGAGTTTGTGGGTTTGAATGCCAGCCACTTTTCTTCCTGCCTGCCTTGTTAAGAATTCTGCGTAAGGCTTCCGAGGTTCCTTCCTTGTATGGAATTACTACTGGTGATTTAGATTCCTTATTGTTGGTGTTGTCTTGCACATGTTTGACATGCATGTCGTCATTAATATTATCATTATTATTATTATCACTACCACTTCCTGACTAGTTTATCAGGGTAATTATTAAGTTTCAAGGCTTCTCTTATATGTCTCACTTCCTGTCTTAGATTTTCCTTGGTAATACTTAGTTTTTTTCCTCTATCACTTAAACATTTCACCAATCCTATTTTCACTGACAGGATGGGATGATCGGAAGTCCAAATATCTGTTTGAATGTGTGGGTTTCCTGTAAACACTAGTGTTAAACTTCCCATCTTCTTTCCTTTTTACGCCACTACAATCTAGCATTGGAAGTTCCCTGAGTTCCTTCCTGACTTTCCAATTCAGCATAAGTGAATTGAATTGCCTCTGTAGTGAGAGCTGTCTACTAGCCAAGTGGTAGACAGTAATTGAGGTCAATGTTTATGTATCAAATATTAGTCATGTTGTGGTGAGAGATGGTTGCTGGCCAAATTGGTTGACAGTAATTGAGGTCAAAGGTCAAGGTGGACAGGCGGTTACAGTTAACATATAGATGAACTGACAGAGCCACAAAAGATGCAAGGTTAACTTTGTGTGACAAACAACCAATCAACAGACTGTATTTTCTACTAACATTGACCTACAATAATGTACATAAAAATCTATAAATACGTGTTGATTTTTCGTAATAAACGATCTGTTGCCTGGCCCTTGTCTTCTGTTGTTACATTTGGTGTCGCTGCCTACCGACAAATGGAAAGCCTATGCCCTGCAGTTTTTGATGGAGACATATGGATCTTCGGGCAGGACTTCGAGGCTTCTTCGCAGTTGAGTGGCGTTCAAGATCTGTCAGCGATGAGGCTGCTACTTGGGACGCTGCTGGGAGGTCGGGAGAAAGCAGCATATGGAAGTGTGAGGCGAAATACCTACGAATGTGCGACAGGGTCAGGCAAACAGTTTCCAAAGTGGGAAGGACCATGTATGGTCACGTTGAGATGGGGTTACGCAGACACAATCGCAATGGTAAACACCGTTAAACAAGTGGACATCCGCAGGCGCCGAGATTCCAGACAGCAAGACAACAGAGCAAAGCCCCAAGAACCGAGAAGACCGAGCCGACTTCAGTCCAAACTATTTGACGGGGGGACGAGTGTAGTGAGAGCTGTCTACTAGCCAAGTGGTAGACAGTAATTGAGGTCAATGTTTATGTATCAAATATTAGTCATGTTGTGGTGAGAGATGGTTGCTGGCCAAATTGGTTGACAGTAATTGAGGTCAAAGGTCAAGGTGGACAGGCGGTTACAGTTAACATATAGATGAACTGACAGAGCCACAAAAGATGCAAGGTTAACTTTGTGTGACAAACAACCAATCAACAGACTGTATTTTCTACTAACATTGACCTACAATAATGTACATAAAAATCTATAAATACGTGTTGATTTTTCGTAATAAACGATCTGTTGCCTGGCCCTTGTCTTCTGTTGTTACACCTCCACCTATGAGTTAATGTATTCCAAAAACCTATCTATATCCTGTGTTCTAAGTACAGTGAATGTGTCATCTACATACCTCCACCATACTTTTGGGTTGGGGGTGAACGTTTCAATCGCTATGCTTTCCTGCCTATCCATGAATATACCTGCTACAACTGGGGATATTGGTGATCCCATGTCAACTCCCTCAGTTTGTTTGTATATTTTCCCTTGGAATTTAAATATTGTGAAACTCAGGCATAGCTGTACTCACAGCATTATGTCCTCAAGTAGCACTTTTGTCCTAAGTTTGAGTTCTTGGTCAGAAATGAGTTCGTTTCTGACTGCCTCCATAGTCATATTTATTGGTATACGTGTGTATAAATGAACAAGAAGTTCAACAAAGAAATTACTTCCGGCGATTTCATCATCAAAATGTACAATTATATTTTGTAATGCACATGTTTACATAGTTACAAGTATTAGTTGAATTCAATACAATAAAGAAGGGAAAATGAAATGGTGATAATAATTTTTCAACTTGATATGAAATTTTCAAGGTGTTTGAATATAGATCACAAAAGGAATATAGAAATAAGTTCACATAGGGCTAGAAAGTAGTTCCGTACTATGTAAAATGGTTTTTCTTTTAAAGAAGGCAGGTGTGAATAGGAGGAGCATAGAAACAAAATGAAATAATAATAATTTTTTAAAACTAGGGTTAGAAAGAATGGAGAGAATGAAAAAGGAAATAAAAAACGTAAACTAAGGAGTCTAACAGAACTAAATCCATAGTAAATTTTGAAGTCAGGTTAGTTTCTTTTGAATACATTCTTCCGGCTTTTCGATGCATATATATATATATATACGGTGAGGGCTTCTGCGGTACAAAGTACTCGGTAGTACACTGCCTTTGGTAAATATTTGTTCCTCTTGTGAATGATTCTGAATGATGAGTCATTTGAGACGCTGTGACTGGTGGTGACGAGGTGTTCACTTATAACGCTTCTGATTGAGCTAGTGCCGTCTCTTTGCAGCCATACCGTATAGTGTTCACTGACAAGCTTTTTGAATTGCACAAATATGTAAAATGACTTACCATGTTGAAAAATTATTACCACTTTTTTCATTTCCCTTTGTTATTATGTTGAATTAAATAATAATTGTTACTATGTAAAGCTGTGTATTACAAAATACGACCGTACAACTGCTTTCGAGGATGAAATCGCCGATAGTAATATCTTTGCTGAATTTCTTGTTCTTTTCTGTCTAATATCCTGTTGGGTATTTTCCCCGTTTTCAAAAATAAAACTATCATATGTATCCTACATTGGTACGTTATTTTGAAATATTGCAAAAGATTTGTGGCTCAGGTGGATGATTTCGAATTTGCTGTCTTCTCTGAGGAGCTGGTTGATTGATTGATTGACTGAATTCCGAAGCTTTCGTCATTCCCCTTCTCGACAACATCTTCACAGCAGGTTTGGGTATGGAATCAACTTATTTAAATTCTCCATGAATGGTGTAATTGTATCTTCCGTTCGACAACCACTGTCATGACTGATTGTTTGTTATTTTACATCTTTATTGATCATTTTATTCACCTGGAATTCGAACTTTCTTGTCGTGTGATTTACACTTCTTATTAGCTGGTAAATTTGG